CACACACATATATATATATATATATATATATATATATATAAAATATTAGTGGAAAATATACATACATATGCAAAATATATAAATACCCATACATGTATTTTTTTAGAAAAAAAAAATTCCAAGAGGAAGAATCCAGGTAGAACTCAATGTCTAGGACAGAGTAAGGATATAATAAAAAGGCTTAAACACTAATATTCCATGGTCATAATTTATTCCACTGGAATCGTAAATACGATCCAATTCATCAGACCTACAAATTCAAAAGGAAAACAGAAAAAAACAACTCCGGAAATAAAAACAGAATTTAGAGAGAGTGTAAGTATGAGGGGGAGGGAGATGAAACCTTAACAGAGAGAATTTTAGGAGAGGTGGGTGGAAGGGGTTTAAGTAAGAGAAAAATGAATGTTGTTGGATGTCTAATGCATAAAGATACATTTTGTGGTGACATACACACACCATATCTAATCTAATATTAGAATAAGAATATATATATATATATATATATATATATATATATATATATATATATATATATATATATATAATGTTTGGGGATCAACGTTGCTTGCAGTAGAAGATCAAACCTTTTGGTGAACAAAATTACTTCCAGAGTGTTAAAAGGTGGATTGAGGATTAATTTTCTACAGCTTATCAACCTTTTATTGGTTATTTAAAGCCAGAAAATATTTTTAAACTATAATTTTTTTTTTTTTTTTTTTTTTTTTTTTTTTTTTTTTTTTAGATAATAGCGATTCAGAGATACAAGTTTTACTAATTAACTCATTGCTGTGGAGGAGGGGGGAGAAGAGGTGGAGTCATACCTTTCCCTTTCCTTTGCGTAAGTGAATATAACAAACTCAACTAGAATTGGATCCACATGCACATCCAAACTTATAGCCCGTATTCCCAAGCGATCACCCATCTAGATACTGGCCAGGCTTGATGTTGCTTAACTTCAGTGATTGTATGGGGTGGGAAACCAGTGTTTCAATGTTAAAGGTTGGCTTTTTGTTTTTATAAGAGCTTCTATTAAGCTTCTTGAAAAAACTTTTTGTATGACCCATATAGGAGTTGACATGCCATTAAATCCAACATCCAACTTTTTGCAGTTGGAGGATCATTATTATCATTTGTCTTCTTTACAAGTATGTTGGATGCCTAAAAACAAATTCATAATTTTATTGGGCACACTGCTATTTACCTGTCAAGATGGCTTTGACCAGAGCTTTATGTGCACCAGCATGGAATTGTACTAATCTCAATATGTAACAGACTTGTTGAAATTTATTCCTTTTACCTGTGAAGGTGAGATGTAATTATGAGGATTCATATTAATGTATATGGTGAGTGTTTCAAACCTTTTCTTATATTAATAAACAAATGTGGCACCTTAGTCATTTCCAAATGTGGCACCTTAGTCATTTCCAAATGTGGCACCTTAGTCATTTCCAAATGTGGCACCTTAGTCATTTCCAAATGTGGCACCTTAGTCATTTCCAAATGTGGCACCTTAGTCATTTCCAAATGTGGCACCTTAGTCATTTCCAAAGTATTCCTTGCAAGACCATAGAACACTTATCCAATATTCTTTCTACTTCTCAAAAAAAAAATCTTTAAAGCCCAGTTTCAGTATTTCCATCAGCTGTCTCTTTAATCTCGTCCATAGTTTGAAATCTCCACCTTTTAGCTTTTATAGGGAGTGAAATCTGTTTTAGGTTTAGTTAGTTTTAGGTTTATGGCATATCAACACCTCTATGGGTCATTTAATGCTGACAAGAATTTTAGGATAATTTTGTATGAATAGAATATGTATTCTTTGTATGAAATCAGTTTGTAGATCAGGTTTCATTGATATATTTTTGTAAAGAGGATTTTTGTCAAGAGTCAAATGTGTTGCTGGTAATTTTTTTTTTTTTTTTTTTTTTTTTCAAAAAGGTATTGCTGGTAATTATAAAAATCTATTTTTATACATTCATAGTAGTTTGACCCCCCCCCCCATTTGTTGATTTGCCCATAGCTGGGGCCCTAACATGTGCTACCACCCGGGTCAGGGTGGATCTGAGAACAACGGTAGTTAAGTTGTTCCACACTCCTCAAAATCTCCTGATCAGAGGCCTTGCTGCGGGATGTAGTTTATCATACTCAGGAGGAGTGAAATCTGTACTGCAGGGAGATTGACCAATGTGGGTAAAGTAAATTTTTTTTTTTTTTTTTTTTTTTTTTTTTTTTTTTTTTGAAAATGTAAGTCATATAGCATGTAAACTTACTCCTCAGTGGAGTGTTAGTACCAACTGAATAATCCTGTAGGAGTGTTCATACTTGTGTAGTATGGTTCCTTCTTATTGCTTGCCTAGTTGCATCAAAGCACAAAAATGGTTCTGTAGATATTTCACAATGGCTGGATACTCTTTGGACATACCTTGTATTTTATCTCAAAAGATTTATTCAAAATAAGGAACAACACTTGAGAAATTTTAATCTGATTTCTTATTTTTGTTTCTTTTTTATCAAAGCAAAGATAAACTTATGATCGTGTTTACCATTATTTTTTCTTATCTTTATTATCTACTGATATATGAATCAAACTTAAAGCTCGGTTGATGAATTTACCCTTGAATAAAATATTTACAATAAGTCATGGGAATTCATCGCCTGTTAGTTTGTTTGATTTTTGATAAGCACAATGGTAGGTGGCAACATTCAAGTTATAAGCCTTCCAGATTTATCAAAGTACAAGTTTGTACTTACATGTCTGGTGTTGACATTATTGCTGTAATTTATTTATTATAGTAATTTATAAATTTCTACCAATAGTAGTGCAGGATACTTAGTCAATGAAATGTTTCCTTATGTTGTATCACGTAAATACAGTAGTAAATACTGTATGTTGGTCTGCAGTTGGAGATTCATCTCCAGCTGTGCTGGTCAAACTCTCTACCTCCGAGCAGAGAAGATCCCCAGATGAGGCTATGTCGAAGGGCAGAGTCTTGTCTCTGAGAACAGCTATCCAACCCCGTCTTATATGGGGTCTACAGGGAATTTTTGGCCGTATTTATGGGCTTGTAGGCACGGCCAAAAATACCTGTTATAGTGGAACACACCTATTCTATAGTTAATACTCTCCCATCTATAACAAATGAACATTAATATAACGACAATACAAGCAATTGGTCATAGATTGGAAAGTAATGTCTTTTTTGTTTGGGTTAATAAAATTCTGAAATATAAATTCTCTTTGTGTATGTATGTGAGAAACAATGAAATGTTATGTGTTGTGGGGGAAAAAGTCAACACGTGTGTGCGTGGTACATAGTAAAGAGGATACAAGAGATGTTTCTTACTGTGTACGGTGTTACCATAGTCTAAAGTGGTCTCTTTTGAAGTTTGTCAGTGCTGTTGCTTTTAGCATAAGGTTGTGAAGTTAAGTGAGTGGCGTGGACCTTGATAGCAGCTGTGTGTATCCTGTTTGGGGCCAGATTTTGTGTGTTATTCGGCTCCATTCCCCACTTCCTACACAATAATAAATTTACATCTTTCTTTTCCCAACTCTCTTTATATGACTTGTTTATATCTTTATTTTCCTCACTCTCTCTCATATATATATATATATATATATATATATTTTCCAAGCGTAGCTCAGATGTGGCACAAGGCTGAAAGTATGGGGCACCCAGTGAGGATTGAACTCACTAATCAGTCATAATTGTTCTAACAAGACAAGCTTGCTAACTATTACACCACATTGAGGTGCCCCTTTTTTTTTTTTCCAAGCATAGCTCAGATGTGGCACAAGGCCGAAATTATGGAGCACCTAGTGAGGATCATAATAGTTCTAGAGACAAGCTTGCTAACCATTACACCACCTCGAGGTGCCCCCCTCTCTTTTTTATATATATATATATATATATATATATATATATATGACTTCTGGCAAACACACAAGATACAAAGTTCAGTTTTATATAGTAATTAGATAAAGGAATTCTGATCTGAATGCAAAATCTGTAAGATGAGCTGCCTGAAAAAGTGAAAGATGATGTTTCGCCAAAGGTCAGGTTGGTCACAAGAGCTTATGAAGGAGAATGTAACCAGTATCCACAAAGATTCTCTCAAGTGGTTCACTCTTCTTTGAAGACTTTGAACTGGGAAATAGGTCACACAGTTGCTGTTAAAGCCGCCTATTTACAAGGTAACAAAACTGAATAAGAAATTGACTTCTAACTTAGAGTGGAAGACCCCAGCTCAATATTTAGAGTACTGATGACTATTCTACAGGCTCCCAGGCTTTGAAAGCTGAATAGAATCATCTGATTGGTTAATTATTCTATATGAATAATCACCTGATGTGTCCTCTGTCTGCCAAAATGAAACCAGCTCAAGTGAAACTTTTTTTTTTTTTTTTTTTTTTTTTTTTTTGAAACCAAGTACACTCTAGGTCATTTTTTTTTCTCATGGAACTCGTTAATGGTACTATGTCATTTTTTTTTTTTTTTTTTTTTTTTTTAGTTGGTTATTGTTTTGCAATGTCTACTGCCATTGGTCAATTTTAAATGTTTATTCTTCAACATTTGAATTGTGTTTCTGAGATGAGGGATTGTAACTATTTACACCATTCGGACTGTATTCATCTATATTGCCATATTCATGATGTTTCGGCAAAATGTAAGCTCCAGCCATCTTCGGGTGATATTAGTTGAAGTTCAATATCTGGCCACGGCATAGGGATCAAAAACTTGGAGAATTGAGTTACCAAAGGGAATTAACTGAAACTGAGTCATCTGAAGGCATGGCAAGTGGAATTAGAACAATCTACCCCTGTACACCAAATAAAGGGTTCAGTTCAAAATTCCAATTCATATCATGTGAATGGCCAAAATGTTATGAATATGGTAATAAGTCTGAACAATGTAAATACTATAAATGTTTTTTTTTTTTTTTTAGTTTCAATTGAGTTTTGTTTTTTAACCAATATCCTTTCTCTATTTTTTTTTTCTTTTCAGTGAAGGAATTTTACTTGGTTATGGCAACCCTCTCCTCGATATAACTGTCAGTGGTACAGAAGAATTCCTCAAGAAGTTTGTTGCCGAATTTTCTTTATTTTACAAATTTATTCTATTTCAGTTTGACAAACTGGAGGCTTTAGTTAGCATAAAATGGCTAGATGTATAAATTTTGTCTTTACGACCAAAAACTTAGACAAAGAAAAAAAAATAAATATCAGCCTATATATGGATAATTTCTTTGTGAATTTCTGTGATGAGGAGTTAGAATTATTTACACTGCTTTAATGCAGAATATTGTCTGCCATCTTTGTTATTAACAAAAATGACAAATAGTTTGCATAGCATAAATATAGATAAATTTCATTGTAATTGTTCCAGTTAATTAATTCTTATCGGTGATGTGTTCGTTAGTATCTTTGATGTACGTATATCATTCACTAAGTGGAATGGATTTCTAGTAATGATTTTAAATTTGGTATCTAAGATTATTGTAAGCGATATCAGGTTCTTGATCTCGCTTGCTTACTCCGTCCTGCTCTCTCTCTCTCTCGCTTGCTTACTCTGTCCTGCTCTCTCTCTCTCTCTCTCTCGCTTGCTTACTCTGTCCTGCTGTTTTTCTCTCGCTTGCTTACTCTGTCCTGCTGTTTTTCTCTCTGTCCTGCTGTTTTCTGTCCTGCTGTTTTCTCTCGCTTGATTCCTTACTCTGTCCTTTCTGTTTTCCTCCGTCCAAACTTTCTTACTCTGTTCCCCCTGTTTTTTCTCTCGCTTGATTCCTCCGTCCCGCTTCTTTTCTCTCGCTTGATTCCCCCGTCCCGCTCTTTTTCTCTCGCTTGATTCCCCCGTCCCGCTCTTTTTCTCTCGCTTGATTCCCCCGTCCCGCTCTTTTTCTCTCGATTCCTCCGTCTCGCGCTCTCTCTCTCTCTCGCTTGATTCCTCCGCCTCTCTCTCTCGATTCCTCCGTCTCGCTCTCTCGATTCCTCCGTCTCGCTCTCATACTTCATCCCTCCATCCCTACTCTTGCTTCTCCCTTTCTTTTTCTTGCTTGCTCCATCTTTCTCACTCTTCCTTCCACCTCTCTCTCTCCATTTGTTGCTTTCTTTCTCTCCTCTCTCTCTCTCTCTCTCTCTCTCTGAAAGAATCCAGTTGCATGCTTACTTTTTCAATACAATTGCAAAGCTTGTCATTCTCCTCCACCCACATCAACAGTGTCATTTGGCATTGAGATCATTCAGAGAGTTGTACTTGTTTGCTTACTCTACAAATAATGGTGGGGGCATCCCTCCACTCCCTCTCCCCTACCATCACTGGTAGAATGCCTATCTATGCCACTAATAAATACATATTCCAAGTATATCTTAGCTGATCTATAACCTGTTTGCAATGGGTTGAAGGGACCATAACCTATCGATTGTTGGGCTTTTTTACAAGCATAGATTAGTATATTTGCATCTTTAGTGTAGTGAATTTGATTCTCACTTGGTACCTTACATGTATGGCCTTGTACCACACTAAGCTAAGTTAAACAAATAGGTCATTTTTTTCTCTTGGAACTCATTAATGGTACTATGTCTTTTTTTATTTTTATTTTTTTTTATTTTTTTTTCAATTTATATATGTAAAGAGTCAATCCCATTCAATAGCTGCAGCCCTATTAATATTAACAATAGTAGTGGTGGGCAAATAGTGATGGTAGTAGTGATGGGCAAATAGTGATGGTAGTAGTGATGGGCAAATAGTGATGGTAGTGATGGTAGTAGTGGTGGGCAAATAGTAATGTTAGTGATGGTAGTAGTAGGCAAAATGCTATAAGAAAAAAAAAAATGAAAAGTCCCTTGGTAATTTTGGGACTTGCCAATAAACTAAGTTATGTGTTTTTTTTCGGCTTTGAGTTTCCTTATTGAACCTGTTCAATAGAACATACATAGTTATGTCCTTTCTGTTGCAGAAGGACAAGGATTAATCTTGTACATTGGAAGGTGGGTCCTGCCTGACATAATCGCTGTCTCATGATGATTTCAGTTTTACAAGGCCAGATGCTCTTCTTGATGCTCAACTTAGACACCCACAGTAGTTCAAGTTCACAGTGATTTTTTTTTTTTTTTTTTTTTTTTTTTCTAGGAAGGTTGCCATTGAAGGTTTGAGATCTCCATCCTAACCTTATATATAATTCCTTTTGTTCCCTATGGAACATTTGACCCCTTTTAACACTCTGAATTGCTTCGTCCACTGCAAGGAAAGTTGGCTCCCAGTGCCGCACCAGGAAATTTTTCTCCCCGGAATCAATCCTCCAGATCTACAAATCAACAATTCGCCCTTGCATGGAGTATTCCTGCCATATATGGTCTGGAGCCCCTTCTGTTTGCCTCGGGGTTCTTGATAGGCTCCAGAGGCAGATATGCAATATAATTGGCCCTGCTCTGGCATCTTGTCTACAGTCACTTTCTCACAGATGCGCCATCGCCTCTGTCTGTTTTACAAATACTTTCATGGCAATTGCTCTGAGGAGCTGCATTCGCTGGTTCCCAGACTTCATGAATTCAAGCGCCCTACGAGGCTGGCATCCCGCTCTCACCCCTTCACTGTCGAAACTCCTAAATGTAACCATCTCTTCTACTCCAATAGCTTCATGTTTTGCACCTCTCGCCTGTGGAACTCCTTTCCCTATTCTAGTTTCCCTGAGAGTTATAATCTCCAACTATTCAAATGTAATGTCAATCAACATCTCCAGTTGCCTTGATCTATCCACTATCCTTCTCCTCATCTTTTCTTCTATCACTCCTATCTGATTTTGCTCCAAATCTTCTGTAACCCCTTGCGTCCTAGTGGCTTCTCGCCTTGCTTGGGGTGAAACACTTAAAAAGCTGACCAAGCAAAGGCAAGATTGTATTCATTTTGACGTGCAAATAGTAGGAGTTTTAGTGGGAATATCGATTCACAAGGAGACCCCCCAGCCACATATATACAGACTTTTTATGATAGCGCAATCTGATTTGAATTCAGTTTCCTTCTTCTAGACTGGTTGCCACCAAGACGAAAGGACTGTCTGTCCTGCTATTTTACCCGTAGCTGGGAGAAAAATTGATTCATACCTTTTTTTATTCGAGTATTATTTTTCTTTCAAATTAAAATAAATGAATTACAAAGATTCTTTGTGAACAACTTCACACAGAATATTTTATGTAACTTTTTTTTTTTTTTTTTTTTTTTTGCATTACAACTGAATGAATTGCTTTACTATGTGATAAACAGAAAATGCAACTACTTTTGTGCGGATGTATGTGATACTGATTTATGTTGTTTTCTCTGTGTGTATAAATTTAGAATGGTTGATCATATGGAAAAGGCAGGGGAAGCTAGCTGCTATCTGTTGACTCGAGTAAACATACTAAGACTGTATGTTTTTCTTTTATGTGTCAATATCACTAAGCAATTTTTGTAATATTATGTACTTGAATAAATATGTGAAAAATGTGAGTAATTAAGTGTGAGAATTGTTTTGTATAACAAACCAACAAAAAGCCTGGTGAAAGGTTCACTGAAAGACTACTAGGAAACAAGAATTGATCATATTTATAATAAAATAATTAGCACCCAAAAACTAGATTTATTAATCTCAAGCTTATTGGTTAATAAATACTTTGCCAATTTTTAAATATTCCTTTTAAGAAGGGAAAAATTGATATTTTGAAGTGAGCCTCCAGAATTTTATTCTAAGATGTTTTTATTGTCTACCAATTAAAAGAATATCACACGTTTCATATGACATCGTTTTTGTTATATATGAATACAAAAATTTGATTATTTGGAGGCTGTCAGTGTACAAAAAATTACTTTTCAGTCACAGTACTTGGAGTAGAAGAGGTAGCTACAGTTAACCATTTTGACAGTGAAAGGGTGGGACTGTGATGTCAACCTAGTACCACGTTTAAATTCATGCAGTCTTGGAACCAGCAAAAGTAGCTTGTTGGAACAGTTTCTGTGAAAGTATTTGTAGAAAAGACAGAAGGATGCAACGGCATGTCTGTGAGAGGGTGACTGTAGACAAGATGCCAGATCATTAATAACTGTCTGTGCTCAGTTGTTGACATTAATAGCGATCTGCTGATGTGTTAAAATTTTGAAATAATGCAATAATAAGAATTTAAATTTCATCTCTCTGATAGATGTTGCAATCTATAATAATAAATAATAATACTTGTAGTAGTCATTGTCATCATCTATACCGAGGTACATTCAGTTAGTTATGTGCCATGCAGGATACATGCCTAAGCAATCTTATCTTTTGATACATGACTGATGAGGCAGATTTTTACCCTCAGTAGGTTGCCATTTCTTTCCACGATAGACCAGTTGCCATCCAAGGTTATAGAACCCGGTCTGTTCTGCTATTTACCTATAGCTGGCAGGGTGTGAAGAAGAGTATTCATACCTTCCCTAACGATATTTGCACATAAGTGAATGTAATGGATTCGACTGGGATTCGAACTTGGTTCTCCAGTTCCTCAATCTGATCTGCTATCCATTACTCCACCATGCCTCCTAGGTACATTAATAAGCCTAATGATCCAAAAGTAATTCCCACAGCAAATATTTACAGTGTTCGGATTGTTACCTTCATCTTTGTTGCTATATTTATGACATTTCAGCTGCGGCCTTCTTCAGGTGATTGGAATTTTGAACTGAACCCTTTATTTTGTCCACCAGAGTAGATTATGCTAGTTCCACGCGCCATGCCTCTTCCGGATATCTCGGTATCAGTTATTTTCCCTTTAACTCGACTCTTCAAGTTTTCATTCACCTCTGCTGTAGCAAGATTATCGAACTCACAACTCCGAAAACATCAAGAATATGGCAACAAAGATGAAGATAAAAGTCCAAACATTTTAAAGCGTGTAAATAATTACAATGCCTCATCTCAGAAATATAGACAAATAATCTCCTTTGTCAATGCACTTAATTCAAAGGCAAATATTAATCACAAAGCTGACATGATGCAGATTTTAGATCAAAATTCAATACTAGGCAGGCTACACACTTATTGATCTATGCTTATATATGTAATTTTGGATTTTTTTTTTTTTTTAAGTGTTGAAATACCTTGTTTGAAACTGCCTTTATCTGATTTTACTTAACAGGTATGGCTTGAAAAGTGATGATGCCATCCTTGCTGAGGAGAAGCATATGCCAATGTAAGTGATTATTTTTGGACAAATTACTTTGACAGAGAACAAAGCTGATGTGATATTGCATTAATTAATGCAGAGTCGAGTACACAAATTGTTTTATGAGAGAGATATATTGAATTAAAGTTGTAATGGAGCTATAAAAAAAAATGATTGATGGTTGCTCAAAAATTGACTTTAATGACATGCAAATTGTCTGTTTTAATGTGTTAGTTTTCTTTTTATGTCCTTAGCATAACGCCTTAATAGTTTGATCAATTCCTATGATAATTTATATAAAGGAATGTAAGTTCCAATTCTGTCATATTGACTCTCTCAGTGTATGTCTCTCTCTCTCACTAATATATATATGTGTGTGTGTTATGGCTTTTGTCAGTTTATGGGAAGTTGTCTATTTTTGGGATACCTATTTTGTGGGTTTTAGGAAGAGCACTGGTATTTCAATGCACCCAATCATTTCAGGAATAGGCAGCACACCCGACAAACTGGGGGAAATATACAGAACATATACACACACATATATATATATATATATATATATATATATATATATATATATATATATATATATATTATAATTATTTTTTTTTTTAAATATTCCTCATGTTTCGAAAACAAGAGCCAAAAACCTCAATATAATTATTAAAATTAAATTGAATTAAAGTATCAAGCCCTATTTCATCCTCAAGTGAAAATATATATATATTTGCACACATACACATGTGTGTGCATACATGTATGTATATGTTTTGGCTTTCCCCAAGTTTGTGGGGTGTGCTTCCTATTCCTGAAATAATGGCGTGCATTGAGATACCAGTTCTCTTCCTAAAACCCACAAAACAGGTATCCCAAAAATAGACACCACCTCCCATAAACTGTTAAAAGCTATAACATACACACACACACACACACACACACAGGTTCCAGCAGGATGGTACTCTTCCTCACACTGCTAATGTTACCATGGCATGACTCCATAAAAAATTTGGGAGCGTCTTGTCAGCCATAAAGCTGAAGAGAAATTGGCATCTCACTCACCTGAACCCACCTCTCCCCCTCCTGGATTTCAGAAGAAGAGTCAAGTGATCACCCAAAAGGATTGTGCACGCTTTGTCAATCACTTTGCATTCAACAGTGCCTTCAACAGAATGGCCGACATCTGGAGTATGTACCCTAAGGCTCCTCTTGATATTTTTGGTTCATGTCTGAGGCTAAACTTGAGAGATATTCTGGAGGTTTCTGTTGAATGGTGTAGCCACCATGTTCACCTGACATGAATCTAAGTCAGCATTTATTGAGAGGCGTGGTTTGGTATTTCTCCAAACTTGTTGGATTGATGCTCCATTTAGTTGTATTGCTTCACTGGACGAGAGGAATTCCTATACAATACAAGGCACCTATCCCATGACTTGGGCACACACACACATACACACACACACATTTTAAATTATTTTTTATCTGACATAATTTCTTATTATAATTGTTATTTTTAGTGGTTAAACGTGTTTGAATTGATATCGCTGTTGTTATTTTCTTAATCGGTGAAAATAATATCAGTTGGCCTAGATTAAGAAATCCTGCCAGGTTGGTTAATATTAACTTTGCAAGGAAATATCTAATGAGATATACTGCTAGCCCAAACCCTAAAGCCAATGAAAATAAAGGAAAAATATACCTTTTGTGTTGTTAGGCTCAAACACTTGAGTAGAGCTTCAAAAAAATGAAAGTATTTTTAGTATATAATAGGTACAACTTGAATACACACACATACAATCTCTCTCATTATATATATATATATATATATATATATATATATATATATATAATATTAGTGGTAAATATACACATACATATGCAAAATATATATATGCATACACATACATATATATTTTTTGAATAAAAAATTCCAAGAGGATAGAATCCAGGTAGAACTCAATGTCCATGACAGAGTAAGGATATAATAAAAAGACTTAAACACTAATATTCCAGGGTCATAATTTATTCCATTGGAATCGTAAATAAGTATAAGGTCCCCAAACGACCCTCTGCAGATTTTGAATTGAGAGTTGTCCTTCTCCTAGACCAGTTGCCATCCAAGGCTATAGAACCCAGTCTGTCCTGCTATTTTACCCATAGCTGGAGGGAGAAGAGGATTCATACCTTTCCCAAGGGTATTAGCATGTAAGTGAATGTAATGGATTCAACTGGAATTCAAACTCAGCTCTCCTCAATCAAGCTGCTATCCATTACTCCACCGTGCCTCAAGCTGCTTCCTCAATCCAATATATATATCCATTACTCCATATATATATATATATATATATATATATATATAAAATGATCTCCATGATCAGGTTTAGCTATAAAATTGAATATAATTTTCCACATTTGCATATACACACATCACAGTGCACAGATATTACACTTTGATTCTCATCAGAAGTGGTGATCCCTGTGTTAACAATTTCACCATTTTTGATGGGTACTATGCTGCTATCTAAATAACATCTGTAATTTAATATAAGGTGTTGTTTTAGAAATTTGAACATGGTGACATTTACCAACTTTTTTGGTAACACCTGGGCGTATATGTTCTTTTTAATTTTATATATTAGCTCTTATACTGTGTGATTTTTCCCTGTTGAATACTGGGAATTTAAGCTTTCTTTTCCTAAAGAGATTTTTTTTTTTTTCCTAATCATTCACCTTAAGCAGGACAATAAAGCCACAAAGATGCAAGTGGGATGTTCCTGAGTGTGAGAGAATATGAGAAAAAAATATTAAACCTAGAACACTAACCATCAATTAAAGTTACGCCATTACTAACAATGGGTATATCATACCCGATTTTGAAAATATCAAAAAAAATATTAAATATAAATCTTTATTTGAAATATTTTACATGCAGACACTTCAAACTTTGTACTTTGAGTTAACATTAATAGGAACTGAAAAACATTTAGGTAAGAAATTACTGAATTCAGTTACTGAAAATTGTAATTAAAAATAGGAAAATTTGCGCTGGGTACTACCCATGGGTAGTGCTCTAGGGTTAAGGAGCAAGAGCAATAAAGGAACAGAAATTAAAAAAAACAGAAAAAACCCCCAGAAAAACAGAAAAAAAAAACAGAAATTAAGAAAACAGAAAAAAAGGATTGACATTGCATTTAAATTTTTGAAGATCTAAGTTGAGTGGAAAGATAGAAACTGGAAGAGAGTTTCACAAGCAAAAATTTTAAGAAAAAGTAACTTAGCTTTGAATTTACGGTTACATCTTGCAATTTCAACTGTAAAACTATGAGACCTCGCTATCAATTTAGTACTGCACTTAAATTCATAATGTCTAGGTACCATAGGGAAAAGTTCATCAAAATAATATCCATGAAAATATTTATAGAAAAGGCATGGGGAAGCTACATTATGGCAATGGGAAAGTGACTGAAGCTGAGATGCTAGGTCAGTATCAATAACATTGCAGATTCTTCTTTTAATTTTATCAAGAATCTCTAAATAAATAGCAGAAACATCAGACCAGACGTGACAGCAATATTCAATGCCTGGCCGAATGGTAGATTTATAAATATGTAAAATAAATAAATAAATTTGATCCTCTTTTCCTCCATGTTGTCCTGGGTAAGACGTTAAACTACACCCACGTCCTGGGTAAGACGATAAACTATGTCCAGCAGCAAGGCCTCTGATCAGGAGGTTTTGAGGAGTATGGAACCACCTCTTAATTGCTGGTGTTCCCAGGTCCACCCTGACTTGGGGTGGTAGAACCTGTTAGGGTCCCAGCTATAGGCAAATAGTTAACTATTACCAGCAATACTTTTTTGAAAAGGTTATTACAAGCAATACAATTTTGAAGGAAAAATATTACCAGAAACAGATTTTTGACAAAACAAAATATTACCAGCAATAAGGAATTTTGTCGGTATTGAGTAGCCATTGGGGTTGGTGTGCCGTGGAACAATAAACCAAACCAATCTAACCAAAGAATATATATTCTATTCATACAAATCTATCCTAAAATCATGTCGGCATTAAATAACTCATTGAGGTTGATATACCGTAAAACAAAATAAACCAAATCAAACTTTTCCTCCATGATGTGACAGGAACAAGAATAAATTAATCTAATTAATGCAGGTCTTGCAACATTATTTTAAATGTTTTTTTTTTTTTTTTTTTTTTTTTTGACTGTTTTTCCTTCTTTGACCGTTTTGGTTTTTTTTTTCTTTTTCTTTTGTCTGTTTATCTTATTTTGAGCAGGTAATTTAGAATATTAACTTTGGCAAAAATAGGACTTAATTATTTCATAGATTTTTTTTTTTTTTTTTTTAATCTTCAGGTATGCTGAGATGGTGGATACCTTCAAAGATGTTGAATTTATCCCAGGAGGTGCCACTCAGAATGCATTGCGAGTCGCACAGGTATCATCTGGAATTTGTTAATTATTTAAGAGTTAACAATTATGAGAGTGTAAACAAGAGTTTTCAAACGGGGGGGGTCCATATAAATCCTGGGAGGTACATATAACATTACTGCGGTCCACAGGGATCCATTTTAAAATGGTTTATCGAGTTATTTTACTAGTGTACATAAATGTTCCGTACAATTTAGTTGTTAAATACAGGTTTATTTTCATTAAATTAGTTTTACTTCAAAATAAAGCATATATATGTCTATAATACAATTTTTAAAATTATTAGTGAAAAAATAAAAATACTTTATTTTTTTATTATTTTTTTTTTTTTTTTTTTTTTTTTTAATCGAATGATTATGGTGGTCCACCAAAACAAATAAAAAGAGTAAAAGTTGTCCATAGTTAAAAAGGTTGAAAACCACTGATCGAAACCGTATATAAGGGAGCTAACTCATGAACTAAGTTGAATATATTGCCAAGAAGATTGTCTTGGATCGGGTGTAATGGTGAAAACATTTTTTCCAGAGGTGAAAATGAGGAGACTTGCTGAGCACGTTTTTAAAATTTTTGATCCATGCCGTTCCCTGATGGCTGCAGTAGACTTATGGACTAAGTAAAACAAAAAAAAGAAAAAAAATACTAAAATAATCTGTGCGGGGAGGAGTACAAAATATTATTAAAGCTTTAAAAACGTATATTTTAAAATTATATCTCATAAATGTAGGCACCTCCACAGATTTGCTAAAAATGAGCATATATGATGAAAAAAATCCCCTGAACTTAATAAAAACAATGCACACACTCATTTAAACTGAAAAAAAAAATCATCCTTGATAATGGCTAAAAGTATAGCTGAAAGCACTTGGAATTATAGAACATTTGGGCAGTTTCTACACACTCTGTCCAAAAAAGTAAGCTCTTGTGCGAACACAAGAAAAATTAAATAAAAAGCTTGTCTGTCATTTTTAATGAAACATACATAAATGAATTATTGCTGCCTAAAAACACATATATATTCATTTCTGTAGTTTAGTGCTACCAACAAGCAGAAATATTTCTCCTCCCAATGATGGCCATTTTGGCCGAAACAAGTCGAGGAATCTAAATGGAATAATAATAAAAAAAAAACAAAAGAATATTAATCTACAACCAAGTGTGTCTAAAGATTTTAATTTTTTTATTGTTCAAAATATATATATATATATATATATATATATATATATATATATATATATATATATATAAATGTGATGTTTATATAAACATATATGTCTAATATATTATATATATTATTATTATTATTATTTATATATTATATGCAGTACATCACAACACTAATTTCCCTCTCACTTCTATAGTAACACCAATATATGCAACCTACATAAATCCAAAATTTAAAAAAATTAATCAGTTTGTCTCTGATTATTGCAAAAGTGTGAAACACAGGGTCACAAACTCACATCAATCCAACCATATATATATATATATATATATATATATATATATATATATATATATATATATTTTGTCAGTGTTGACCTCAGTGTCCACTTTTATATTACTCCAGAAAACGGTACATGTGAAAGTTCCTGTACTAGTGCTCACAAAATTAAATCTCCCTATTATGCCATTAAAAAAATATATTTTGTATCTTATTTAAATTAATGGTCCTCCTTGATTTTTGGGGTTTTTTTTTTCTGTTCTTTTTGCTGCTAATGTTTATTTTTTATGCCATGTCTGAATTTGAATTCCATTTGAGTTTGTTACATACACTTACGCCCAAATAACCTTGGAATAGGCATGAATCCAATTTTTATCTTCCCCACTCCGCTATGGGTTAACTTGTAGCTGGAAAAAAAAAATCGTTATTTCCAAAAAATTATAAATAACCAACGAAGGGATGATAAGCCATGAAAAAAAAAAAAAAAATCAATAAAGTATGTAGTGTCTCTTTTGGATTCAGGTGATTATGATTCTCCATAGCTTCCTTTTCTTTATTATCTGTGAATTGCCATGCTTCCTTGAGAAAAAATAGTGTAGTCGTTTACTGTAACTTTCTCCAGTTTGGGATTCAGTTTTCCTTCTCTTATTCTGATTGCCACACAAATTTAGAAAGCCTCCTGTTGAGATAGGAAAGAAACTGCATGAAAGTAAATGCAACAAACTTGCTTGGAATTTGAACTTGTATCTAGTCACCCTGAATACTTCTCTTGAATCTACACTTGACTGTGTCTCCTACTCAAAGACCTGTGTTTGAAGAATGTTCACCAAAAACCTGATGAAGCATTTTGAGTGTCTTTGTAACAGATTTGCCAAACTCCATGCAAAATTTGGTGCAGGCACATTGCTTGAATTTGTCAGCTATTGTAAAGATCACAGAGCTGTTCCAACACAATCTTACAAAAACCTCAAATAATAATTGAACATAGAAACCCATTGACAGATACAATCACAACATGTATTGTTCAGGAGTCTTCTGATATTAGACATTGCCAGTTATTACTCTCTCTCTCATATATATATATATATATATATATATAAGTAAATCAATTTCTAAAAAGTTATTCTTAGCATCGCTTGATAATGATATGGAACTTTTGTATTTTAAGTTTAATATTTCTGATTAAATTTGAATTAAAGTTTTGAAACATGGGAATTTCGATGTCTTGATGGGAATATATTTTTTTAAAACAATTATTTAATTATATATATATATATATATATATATATATATATATATATATATATATATATAAAAATGGACAAAGTCTGACATTTATTTTAAGACATTTTTATGTTTATACATTCTTTTTATAGATACAAATATTTAAGTAAATGCTCTGTTTATAATAAACAACATTTACCAGCCTGAATGTCCAAGAAATTTTCACAGAAGATTGAAGTTCAAATACAGTAAATTCGACCTTGCTAACCAAATGCTCCTCTAGCCAAATCAGTTAAAGGCACGTCAAGCTAAATGACGGTTCCATATAGAATACAGGTTCGAATCCTGTTGGAGGACGAATATTTTCTGTGAAAATTTCTCGGACATTCAGGCCGGTAAATGTTGTTTAATACTGTTTATTATAAACAGAGCATTTACTTAAATATTTGTATCTATAAAAAGAATGTATAAACATAAAAATGTCTCAATATATATATATATATATATATATATAATTAATTAATAAAAACAGACCACTTAAAAAGCATTTTGGTGAAATAAATTATTGTAAAGTGGTCTGTTTTTCATTAAATATTAGCTCTGTTCTTCACATTGAGCTCTCAGGATTTCATCCTCCTTGGATTTACCAAGTTTTTCATAACTTATATATATATATATATATATATATATATATATATATATATATATTTTTTTTTTTTTTTTTTTTAGTAATATTTCATCTTAATTTCAGTTGATTTTATGGCAAAATTCAGACCAGCATTTTATATCAACATGGTAAGCAACATCTATTGAGGGTTATTCTTTATTTCCAATCCAACTACACACTGTCTGGCCCAATGATTGAACCTAGTGTCTAAAGGAACCAAATATCGTAGTGGGTTAAAGTGTTGGTTCATGAATTTGGTGACATCGTAATTATGAGTTCGATCTTTGGGTCAGGCAGTGTGTACTCAAGCTCAGTGGAAACAAGCGAACAATAACTGAGCAGTAATAAAAATAAGAACTAGATGAGATATTCCTATACAATGTCAATGGAATGAGAAGTCTTTACGTCCATAGATTAAATAAAAGTGTTCAGTTCAGAATTCTCTGCAGGTTACTGTAGTGAAAGAGATAATCAGCTACCTTGAAAAAGAGTGTGTTTTGTGTGTGATCTGCCGAAGAAAAATTACCAAAAAGTAGTTAAAAAAAAAAAAAAAAAATCTACTTTAAGGATGTGAATCTATGCTAATGTTCTTCCCTCCCCTAAATGGCGTGAACAAAAGCCATTGTTCTTAGCTTATAAAGGCAGGAGATTTTCTGAGCTCGGGGGACAAACATCCTTTTTTGCTGGTGAGAAGTGAAGGTTGGACATGTGATCCCATTTTGTCGTTTCTACACTCCTTGTTGGACTGTTATGACGGGCTATCGTTTGAACTGATTTGGCTACAAGTGTTGCAATTGAGAGACAGAAGAAATCTATTGCAGACGTTTGTTGCTACTATAAGTTGACAGTCTTTTCTTTACAACCAGTTACCCAGATCAATCTATACCTGATGAAGGCCTGTAGGCATAATAGACAAAATGTGATGACAACAACAAAGATGAGGATAGTAATCTGAATGTAAATCATGTAAATAATGAAAAATAGTTTAAATAAGATGAAAATATGAGGTGTGATAATTTACTTTCCAGAATGAGTCTTCGAAAGTAAAGTTTAGCTGCTGTTACATGCGTCCTAATCACCCAATTCTCCAGAATGCTAACAATCGTCTCTTGAGAACCGGTAAGCCATTATCAAGACATCGGAGATAAAATTGACTTTGGTAGTTCCTGTTTTGGATGTGACAGTTATCGGTGCAGAAATTGGAATTGGCAAGTGGAGTCCAAATTCTGGCATGGTCTGTTGAATTCACTTTTGTACTAATGCCCTTGAGGAAGGTACGAATCCATTTTCTTCCTACAGGTATGTTAAATATCAAAATAAACCAGGCACTTTAAACTTGGGTAGAATTTAGTCTTGGAAAAGGACAATACTAAATTTTAAACTATGGAGAAAACAATACAAGAAGCCATGGCAATTCACAGATAATAAAGAAATTTGGAGAGCCATGGTATTTTTTTTTCTTCTGTTTTAAATGTTAGTGACGTTTTTTTTTTTTTTTTTTACTCAATGTTTTCTTTCTTTTCTTCCAGTGGTTTTTAGTCACTCCTAAAGCAACTACGTATTTTGGTTGTATCAGCAAAGATAAGTTTGGTGATATTTTGGTAGAAAAAGCAACTAATGCCAAAGTAAATGTACGTTACCAATATACTGATAAGGCACCCACAGGAACATGTGCTGTTGTTGTTTTAGGTAATCAAAGGTGAGATAACATTTCTCTCTCTCTCTCTCTCTCTCTCTTTTTTTCCTTTCTTTTTCCTTTGCTTTTAATTTTTGTCTTTTCCATTTTTCCCCTTCTTTCTACCCCCTTCTTTCTTCCCCTTCCTTTTCTTTCTTTTCTCCCCTTCCTTTCTTTCTTTTTCTTTCTTTCTCTCCCCTTCCTTTCTTTCTCCCCCTTCCTTTCTTTTCTTTCTTTCTCCCCTTTCTTCCTTTCTTTCTCCCCCCTCCTTTCTTTCTTTCTTTCTTTTTCTTTCTTTCTTTCTCCCCTTCCTTTCTTTCTTTCCCCCCTTCCTTTCTTTCTTTCTTTCTCCCCTTCCTTTCTTTCTTTCTTTCTTTCCCCTTCCTTTCTTTCTTTCTTTCTCCCCCTTTCTTTCTTTCTTTCTCCCCTTCCTTTCTTTCTTTCTTTCTCCCCTTCCTTTCTTTCTTTCTTTCCCCTTCCTTTCTTTCTTTCTCCCCCTTCCTTTCTTTCTTTCTTTCTCCCCCTTCCTTTCTTTCTTTCTTTCTCCCCCTTCCTTTCTTTCTTTCTTTCTCCCTTCCTTTCTTTCCTTTCTTTCTTTCTTTCTCCCCCCTTCCTTTCTTTCTCTTTACTCTTACCCCCCACTCTTTTTACTTTTCCCCCAAATCTTAAAAAATGGGAAAAAGTATAATACCAGTTTTATGCTGTTATCACTGGCATATGTATGCAGTTTATATTTGTAAATAAAAACAAGGTAAAGATAACTCTATAAAACTTTGATCGATTTGACACTGTATTTATATTACAAACAGGACTGGCCCATTTCTAAAATGATGAAAAATTAATATTTTTTTGATTTTTGACAAATATCACTTGAGAAATTGTACCCTGCAAAAAAATTTAACCTGTTTTATGAGCAGGCCTGTTAATTTAAGTAGTGGGGAATGCCTTCAGATTAATAATGGTTTTATTGATGAAGTATACTACACTGGAAATGAAGGGCTCAATATCCTATTAAATGTGAGAGCATCAAAATATATTCTCCTGAAAAATTTATTTTGGTTGAGCTCTCTGGGGAGGAAGTGTGAGTTTGTAAACACTATTATGGCTAATAATGCAAAGACTCTTCGGTAAATTGAATCGAGTTCTCTGTCACTGGGTGTTTATCTAAAAATAAATACGCTAAATTCACCTTCATCCCTGCCCTGCACCAACGGCTTAGTGGTAGAATCAACGATTGATACCAATTCAGTTGGGTTTCGATCCTAGCTAGAGGCAACCAGATGTCTAGCCACACTGATGAGCTGTGATACAGTGAAATGGTCTCTGTGGATGACTAATATATATATATATATATATATATATATATATATATAACGTATGTATGTAGAGAAGTAGAGAAAAAATAAAGAATTATGATTAAATAGATAAGAACTTTAAGGATCTCGTGCCACTTGAGAGAAAAATCAAGATGTGAGAACTTCAAAGTAACCATCCAGAGAGAAAAAAGATCAATTTGATACTGTATTTATATTATAAAAATGATTCCTCCACTTCTAAAATGATGAAAAATGAATATTTTTTTGATTTTGACAAATGTGACTTGAGGAAGGTCTAATCTTCAAAAAAAAAATTTCCTCCACTGCCTGTGTCATGTGAAGGGGAAGCAGTCTTGCTGGAACTCATACAAACTCTCCTAAGTCAATGAGGGGTTTGTGAGGTGGGGAAAAGTCATCAGTAAGTGCAGTTCCAAATTTGATATTTGTAAATAAAAACAAAGTAAAGATAACTCTTTTAAAAGTCAGAGATCAATTTGACATTGTATATCATGAACAAGACTCCCTTTAAACTGATAAAAAAGCTTATAGCCACATCACGTTGGACAACTATGTCTTATAATTACAGCCATATCATGTTGAAACACCAGTTCCAGTATGATCACTGAAGTTAAGCAATGTCAAGCCTGGTCAGTACCTAGATGGGTGACTTGCTTGGGAATGCCAGGCGCTGTAAGCTTAGAAGTGTGAGTGGTGTAATGGCTTCGAATTGTTAATTGGAGAACTGAGTTCCAATTCCCATTGGGTTTGGTATATTACATGCAAATACCCTTGAGAAGGATATGTACCCACCTCTTCTCCCCTCCAGCTATGGGTTAATTAGTATCATTTAAACCATTGCTATCTCCAAGAAAAAAAACTCTTACAATCTTAAAAAGAAAATTTTCTGGTTTTAAATATTCTGCAAAGGGTTGATAAGCCATAAAAAAAACAAACAAATATATTGATAAAAAGTCAATATTTTTTATTCTGAAAAACATTGTGCATAGGAAGTAGATGTAATGAATGCCAATCAACAAAAATTACCCCCCCCCCTTTTTTTTTCCAGAAGTGATTGCATGTCGAGTTTTTTTTTTTTTTTTTTCCATATCAGAAGCGCTAGAAGGTCACATGTTGTAGGTTACCTGCAAGAATTTACCTCTCCTCCTCATGGCTGAATCATGTGGGAGAACGCACTCCTATTGGAACACATACAAATTTCCCTGTGTCAAACTCCCCTAGTGTGGCATAAGGGTATGAGCTGCTTACTGTACCTAATTTTGTCTCTTGTCACCTTTTTAATTTATTAATTTTTCTTTTTTTTTAATTTAATTTTTTTTTAATTTAATTTTTTTTAATTTAATTTTTTTTTTATTTAATTTTTTTATTTAATTTTTTTTTATTTAATTTTTTTTTTTATTTAATTTTTTTTATTTTTTTTTTTAATTTTTTTTTTATTTAATTTTTTTTTTTTTTTTTATTTTTTTTTTTATTTCATTTTTTAAAAATTTTTTTTTTTTTTTTCCAGATCCCTCTGTGCCAATCTTGCTGCAGCAAATTGTTTTACAGAATCACATTTGGATGACTCGGACAACTGGGCACTCGTTGAGAAAGCAAAGTTCTATTATATTGCTGTATGTATCATTCTGAATATTTGAGGAGGTTTGCAATGTAATGTGGCATTTTCTGTTTTTTTTTTTTTTTCCCCCCTAAATTTCAGCAAGGCCTCTGATCAAGAAATTGGCAGTTTTCAGGAGCGTGGAACCACCTCTTAATAGTTGTTCTCAGATCCATTCTGACCAAGAGTGCTAGCACCTGTTAGGATTCCAGCTATGGGCAAATAGTGAACCCTTAAACAAAAATCAAAATGTATTTTTCTAGCAGAATGACCAGGAATGTATTTTTCGAGCAGAATGACCGTTAAATTGTGGTTTTACTATATTTTTATTGTGTGTATGTGTGTGTAATATATATATATATATATATATATATACTTTTTTTTCCCATTATCATCTTATTTCAATTTGTCTTGTCTACAGAACTGATCTGGGAACATATATATATATATATATATATATATATATGTATATAAATAAAAAGAAAGAACAGTAAGATATAAAATCCGTGTTCTTATAGATATTTTATTTTTACAAAATAGTGCTCAATGTAAATTTACAGAGCATTAATATTATAAATTAATTGATTTAAAATATGGTTATTTTCGCTACACAGTTCCAACCATGTTTCAAAAATAGAAGCTAAAACCCCTAATTTTATTTTTGCAAATAAATTAAAAGCATTAGTTCTATTTCATCTTCAAGCGAATTTTGGAGTAACTTTTAAAATTTACCGGTTTTAAAACACAGCTAAAATCACGTTTCCATGGTTACAGAATATTCTACTCAAATTGAACACGGGTGTCTAGATTTTCCTTATGACAGTATCATTGTATCAGTTATTAGCTACATTTTGGTAAGGGGTGAGGATGTATTTTACACTGAAACCTGACGTCGGTTGAATGGATGTCGTCTGAATTTTAAAAAAAAAAAAAAAATTGTTAACGGTAAAAATTTTCAACGTCATCTTTTAAAATTAAAGATTTTTTTACAATACTTTTTATTTAACTACGATTTGAAATATTTTCCTTTTAATTTTTATTTTACTATATTCTTTTTAAGAACAGTTAAATGTATTAGAATCCATTATATTATGTAGGATTATTTTAACATTAAGTTTAAGTATGTATATGAGGTTACATTTTTTTTTTTTTTTTTTATATGACTATGACAGCAGAAATGGTTACTTAATTTCACTGATTCAGTAAACTTTTCTTTTATATATAAACCTATTATTATAATATTTCACATGTAAGTACTGAGGACATGGGTCATTCAAAAGCTTACATGTTATGGTATTTCATATTAATTTTATTTTACTATAGGTGTTATTTTTGGATTCTTTTTTAATGCGTGTAGTATTATTTAAAAAGAAATTTAGGTTAGAATTCATTCAATTTAACTACAATTTTAATTACAAATTCAAAATTACAACTTTAAAATTTTAAAATATTTTCATTGTTTAGTTTTAATAGACTATATTACTTTATAACAGAAGGAAAATTACTCATATTAAGTAAGATTATTTTCCATATCAAAGTATATGTAAATTTTTTTTTTTTTTTTTTTTTCTTTTCTCTTTAAATTTAAATATTATTTAAGTAATATTAATGGCACTTACTACAAAACTAGCTAAGTCATTTCTCAGATTTAGTAAACTTTATTTATTTATTAATTAATTAATTTATTTATTTCAAATATATGTAACCTAATTAATAAAGTTTCATATGTATGTATAAATAACATGTTAGAATTCATTTTATTTTACTACAATTTTAATTTCAATTTTAAAATTTTAAAATTATAACTTTAAAATTTTAAAATATTTTCATTGTTAGTTTTAATTTAGACTATATTACTTTATAACAGAAGGATAATTACTCATAGTAAGTAAAAATTTTTTTCCTATCAAAGTATATATAAATTACAATTTTTAAACTTTTAATTTAGATATTATTTAAGTAATATTAATGGCCCAGACTACAAAACTATCTAAGTCATTTCTCAGAATTAGTAAACTTTATGTATTAATTCAAGTTTAAGTATGTATATGAGGTTACATTTTTTTTTTTTTTTTTTTTTTTATATATATATATAAACCTAGTGATATAATGTTTCTCATGTAAGTACAAAGGACATGGGTCATTAAAAAGCTTACATCTTATGGCATTTCATATTAATTTTATTTTACTATATTTGCTTTTTTGGGATTCTTTTTAGTGCGTGTAGTATTATTTAAAAGAAACTTAGGTTAGAATTCATTCAATTTAACTTTAATTTTAGTTTCAATTTTAAAATTACAAACTTTAAACTTTTGAAATATTTTCATTGTTAGTTATATTAGACTATATTACTTTATAACAGAAGGAATATTACTCATAGTAAGTAAAACCCGGTAAATTTTAAAAGTTACTCCAAAATTCGCTTGAAGATGAAATAGAACTAATGCTTTTAATTTATTTGCAAAAATAAAATTAGGGGTTTTTAGCTTCTATTTTTGAAACATGGTTGGAACTGTGTAGCGAAAATAACCATATTTTAAATCAATTAATTTATAATATATATATATATATATATATATATATATATATATATATGTATAAAATTCAGAACTTGAAAATTGCTTCAGCATGAAACTTGGAGTTGTGCAATAAATGTAAGATATTATGTATATTTCTTTTTTTTTATATATATATATATATATATATATATATAGGCAGGGTGTGTGTGTGTAATGAATGCATGGCCGCAATTTTTGACGGATTTGCACCAAAATTTACATGCACATGCTCCAAGTTAGCATTTCCCAACTCCCATTGATAGTGGAAATAATCGATATTTTTTTTTTTTTTTTTTTCATGCTTCTACGGCAGTTTTCATGTAGTTTGCAGCCATTTTGTACTGGCCAGAGTGAGAGCCTATAGCTGGCTGCCACGAATAGGCAGGAAGATTTTATTGGCCAGCGTGAGAGCCAACTACTGACTGACAAAAATGTTAACTAGCATGCAAAAAAAAATTGATATCTGCATTCATCACAAGTAGGAAAAATTTAAATCTGCATGGCACTTTACTCCAATTGGCTCATTTGCTTGCTTAAACTCAATGTTGATTCTGATTCCGCAGAACTGGGTTGGGTGTGAAAAAGTATTTGTTGTTAACATTTTTTTTCATTTGGTTTTTCCAGTTACGGAGTCCTTTTTAAAGCTGATCGTTTTGTGTTCATTTTGTTTAGTTCTTTTTTCGTAACAGATTTAATGTTTAGTATAGAAAAAATTTGCAGTGTGAGATAGGCAAGAAGTAAGGCATGTAGCAACATCAGCACGGCAAAGGGCACTCCTTTAAAGGTAAGGAAGGGCAAAAATATTTTAAGTCAAGTGATAGCGATTACTGTATGAGTCATGATTTTTGAATCAAGCACGACAACGCTGATATATATATATATATATATATATATATATATATATATATATATATATATATATATATATATAAAATGTGAAAAGTGTATATAAATAAATATATATATATGTATAATTATTTATATATTATATCTGCGGTACTTATTAGAAAGCGCTCAACATCAGAGATAGAGCTAATATATTTGGTTGGATGGATGTGAGTTTGTGACCCTGGGTTTCACGCTTTAGCGATCATCAGACAAACTGATTAATTTTTTAAAAAATTTGGCTTTATGTAGATTGCGTGTATTGGTGTTATTGTGGAAGTGGTGGGGGAAATTTCGTCGCTTATGTCATCGTACTAACGCAAACATCGATGTATGCAGACACATATACATACATACATACATACATATATAAACATATGTGGGCAGTTTTGGATATGACATATGTATGTATACGGGTGGTGTTGTGTCTATACATACGCATTTGTATGTTGAAATGTTGAAATTTAAAGATTGGAAGTGTGGCGGAAATGTCTCGTGAATGTATACATGTCATATTATGTATTTTTCCACTGAATATTTCCTCGCATGTATGTATATACGTGTGGTGGCGTTTGTGTAAAATTATGATAGGTAAAAATTATTATTTATATTTATTTTTAAATTTTTGAAAAAAATG